TGAAGCTGATTATGCAGGTGTATTTAAGGGATGGCCAGACCTGCAGTCTGGGCCTAGGTGTGTGTTTTTCCTGGGCTCCTGTATCTTGTTACCTGCATCCCTGTTCCTGTTCCTGTCCCTGTCCCTGTCTGACTGATTCGTTGCTGACCCTGCCTGATCCGGACCTCTGCTGACTTCTCCTGTTTGATCCCTGGCTTGTGACCCCGACTATTCTCTGCCTGACCCCCTGTACCTACCTGCCCGTTAGTTGCTGTACCCGGCTCGTGACCTTACTACTCTCTGCCTGCTCCTCCTGTTCCTACCTGCCCAATTGTTATTGACCCGGCCTGCCTGACGACGCTTGCATTGTATGTATTGTTATCTGTGGGTGGTTTGGTTTGGTTCGTTTGCACTGTGTTATGTTTAGTATTGCACTGCGTTTATGTATTGTTAGTGTTAATAAATTATATTGTTATAACATATCTGAAGCCTGCGTTTCCCTGCGTCAGTTCACATACCTCTGGTCACACCCTGGAGCCCTGACAACCTCATATCTGTTTACCTGATTCAGTCCTATTTTTTTAAAGTTTACATACAAATAGATATTATATGGTATGTGGGCTCTCAATTATTTACCGAAAAGATTGATATAATTTGTGCAAATGTTGTGCAACAAAAAAAATTGAACTACAATCTTTTTTATTGTACAGGTTCTCTGCTTCAAAAAAATAGATATTGCATGTGGAAGGGGTTAATTAGGATTTCAAGCCAAAAATGCACACACTGGTGTATGTGTAAGAAATGGAAAAATAGCTCTGTCAGCAAAATGGGTTTGGAATTTTCTCCATAAAATGATGGTGGATAGAGTCATTGAGATCTATTCTTAATGCCCCAATGACCAACTGTACATTTCTAGATATTTTTTAAAGGTAAATTAATATATACAGGCTTGTTTTCTGTCTATGCCACCGCAGCACATTGAAAAGTATATATACAGTATGTACAGTGTGAAGTGCAGCTTTAATCCATTCCCTTGAGTCCAGCCAATCTAGGAAAGTAAAGTCCCAGAGAGCCACTGGGATCCATAAAAGCACTCTCACAAAGATATTACACTCACTGGGAATATAACCCAGCACTTCAGAAAATGCCTTTTTTAGAAGATGAAATCCATTAAATTGTAAGAAAATAAACAAGTAATCGATAGAGATGTGTAAAAAATAAATTTGAGTGAACACAAAACTGACATATTATGTAGTAGCATTGCATTAGTTTGGTTTTCACTCTATATCGGTAGTGGTCCACTTTGTTCATATGGGGGCCCAATTTCAGCCACTGACATTGCTAAAGTGCCACACATGATATTTAGTGAATGTAACACTAAAGAAAGCTGTCAGATACTGCAGACACACTACAGGAGATAGTCATTGGCTAGGGACATGTTACAAGAGATAGAGACTGCAGAAATACTACAGGAAATAGTAATTGTCTATGGATGTGTCATAACAGATGGAGACTTCAGGCATATTACAGGAGATGGCCAATGGCTACAGGCATGTCACAAGAGATTGAGAAAGCAGACATACTAGAAGAGTTTGTAAATGGCTACAGGCATGTCCCAAGAGACAGATAATGCAGATATACTACAGGAGATGGTCAATGGCTTTGGACATTCCACATGAGATGGAGACTACAGACATACTACAGGAGATGGTAATTTGCTAAGGACCTGCCACAACAGATGTACACTGAAGACATGCTACAGGAGATGGTCAATGGCTATGGGCAGGCCACAAAAGATAGAGCGTGCAGCCATACTACAGGAGATGGTCAAAGGCTACGGATATACCACAAGAGATAGAGCGTGCAGCCATACTACAGGAGATGGTCAATGGCTACGGATATACCACAAGAGATAGAGACTGCAGACATACTACAGGAGATGGTTGATGGCTACGGATATACCACAAGAGATAGAAACTGCAAACATACTACAGGAGATGGTTGATGGCTACGGACATGACTCAAGAGATGGAGACTGCAGGCATACTACAGGAGATAGTCAATGGATACAGACATGGTATAAGAGATGAAGGTTGCAGACATAATACAGGAGAGGGTCAATGGCTACGGACAAGTCACAAAGAGATGGAAACTGTAGGCACACTACAGGAGATAAATATAAATAAACAGCGCAAACATAGACCTCTAAATAAAATCAATATATAAAGTGCATAATATATAATGAAAAATGTTAATAGTGAAAGTCCATCATAATAATAGACAACAAAAGTTCGTGAATCACAAAAAATTTGTGCAAAAAATTCAAAAATTCTTCAAATGCAAAGAAAGACTTCCACCTTCCACCCGTGCAAACCAACATCAAATACACTCACCAGATTTAGGTGAATGAAACGCCTTTTAGGAATTTTATGGGATCCTAAACCCTCTTTCGTATCCACTCTATAGGATTCCTCACCATCAGTATAGGCTCCACCATACAACCAGGGAGAGAAAATCTCAGATAGTGTGATATTGCTAATTACCGTTTTTAAATAAAATCAAGGATTAAGGCCACTCACATTTCAATAACTTTAAAAAGGCATATTTATTGGAACAAGCTTCTTCCAGATGGACAATGAGTGTCAGATAACCTCCTCAGGAATCTCACATCACAGTTCCAGGATACAGCAGAAGCTCCACAGAGAACAAACATGCACAGATCCCAAAAGATGGCCGCTGGAACGCACCGCTCAGCGTGCGTTCCACTCACCGGAAGTGACGTCAGACGTACGGAGTAAAGACCGGAAATGCATCAAAGATGGTCAGTGGCTACGGACTTGCCACAAAAGATAGAAACTGCAGACATACTACAGGAGATTGTCAATGGCTATGAACTGGCCACAAGAGATGCAGACTGAAGACACACTACAGGAGATGGCCAATGGCTACGAACATGCCTCAAGAGATAGAAACTGAAGACATGCCAAAGCAGATGTTCAGAGACAATGGACTTGCTATAAGAGTGAATTCAACATACTAATATATATAAAGTAACACTATCCTACTATATAGCTATTTAGTGTACATAAATACCCTAAGTATGTGCACACAAAAAATATTCAAAAGAGAAAAAAAATATGTCTAAATCAAACATTATTACATAATAGTCCATATCTCTATGTACAAACATGAATAATCAATAAACCCACTATTGTCTATTACTCAGTACTTTAGGTACATGCTCACCATCTACTAGACTGAAACTCACCACTTAAAAATAGGTTAAAAGCACTTCATAATCTCCTCTCCATTGAATCATTCTTGCTTCCTTCTAAAATCTTGAGCTCAGAATAGATGGATATCCCACTGACAAATCAGCATGTTCTTGTACCAGCTTATAAGTGTGCAATGCTCAGGAAAGAGAAAAGAGACTTCTCATAATGTAATAGGTTTATTAGAAAAAAAAACAAAGTTAAAACAGCAGCAAACACTTCATGACATAAATGCCTCCAGCACTATCGGATAATCACATGTACTGTATATACAAAGCTCTAATAAGCTGGTAACCACGTTTCAGTCAGTATCGGGCACATACTAATATGTCACAAAGCCTTGCTGATGTGTTTTGGCACCTGGACTTCATCAGAGGTGAAGAAACACGTCAGTTAGGGATTGGAGGCTTGGAGGCACATTGAGCTTGGAGATACATTGGTACATGCCCAAATACTAATAAGACAGTCTGTCGCAGTGGTTCTCAACCTTCCTAATGCCGTGACCCTTTAATACAGTTCCTCATGTTGTGGTGACCCCCAACCATAAAATTATTTACCCAGTAATTATAATTCATGAAGTGTCGTTTTACCTCCAATACTGCTGCTTTCAACACAGTAGCTGCTTTCTACATAGTAGTTGCTTTCTACACAGTAGCTGCTTTCTACACAGTAGCTGCTCATTACACATCGGAAATATGTGTTTTCCCCGATGGTCTTAGGCGACCCCTGTGAAAGGGTCATTCGATCCCCAAAGGGGTTGCGACCCACAGGTTGAGAACCACTGGTCTATCGCTATCTTACTAAATACACGTGCGATTATCCAATAGTGCTGGAGGCACTTATGTCATGGAGTGTTCACTGCTGTTGTAACCTTGACTCCTTTAGTAAACCTGTTACATTATGAAAGGCCTCTTTTCTCTTACCTGAGTATTGCACATTTATATGCTGGTACAAGAACATGCTTATATGTCACAGAGATATCCATCTAAATCAGGGGTGGGCAAACTTTTTGACTTGAGGGCCGCAATGGGTTCATATATTGGACCCGGGGGCCGGACCAAGAGTAGATGAATGATGTGTATGTGTCATCCATAGTAAGTATAGTAATATTCCCCCATAGTAAGCATAGTAATCAATCCCCCATATAGTAATTCATCCCCCATAGTAATTCATCCCCCATATAGTAATTCATCCCCCATATAGTAATTCATCCCCCATATAGTAATATGTATCATCCCCCATAGTAATTCATCCCCCATATAGTAATTCATCCCCCATATAGTAATTCATCCCCCATAGTAATTCATCCCCCATATAGTAATTCATCCTCCATATAGTAATTCATCCCCCATATAGTAATTCATCCCCCATAGTAATTCATCCCCCATATAGTAATTCATCCCCCCTATAGTAATTCATCCCCCCTATAGTAATTCATTCCCCATATTAATTCATCCCCCATAGTACTATTCCCCCCCAAGTAGTAAGCCAAATCCCCCGTGTCAATTCACTTACCTTTGCTCCACGCGTTCCTCTCGCCATGTTCCCGCGCCGTTCCGGTCTTCAGGGCGGACTGTGAGAGGAGCCTAGCTCCCCTCCCCTCACGTTCGTCACGCTGCCCCGCCTACATACATCCTGACAGCCACATCCACGGGCCAGATTAAAAGGTCCGCCGGGCCGTATACGGCCCGCGGGCCGTAGTTTGCCCATTGCTGATCTAAATAGTCTTTTTGACTTACCTTACAACAGGTAGTCATTTTGATGTGCTGTCAGTGCCAGGGGCGGACTGACAACTCATGGGGCCCCCCGGGCAATAGGGGATCATGGGGCCCCTGTGTCATTGCCCAAACTCAAAAAAGCCTATGAAAAAGCTACCAGGGGCATCTCATGGGGCGCCCTACTGACCCCGGGCCCTCGGGCAGTGCCCGAGTTTCCAAATGGTCAGTCCACCCCTGGTCAGTGCTACTGTCTGGTCTACTTACTTATTGCCACCAAGATCCTGTGTAAAATGTGTGCCTATGTTTTAGGTTGTTGTGTAGAAACCTACACAGCATTTTTGATGTCCATGTGAATGCGCCTTAACTGCAGCCAGAGTTGAAGAGTAGGGTGACAGCCATCACTGCACATCACACATACAGTTGACGTGACCATGCTCTTCAAGCAAGTGGGCAATGTATATGATACTTTTAGAATTCCAATGAAATTACAGTTAAACTACATGGCACACTTTTTTTTCCTTCACAACTTTTTTTGGGTATTTTTACATTTTTAATGCACTTATAATGTGCTCCATTGTGTTGCGCTGGTTGTTGTTTCCAAGGATACCTTAAGTCAAAAACTGAAAACAAGGACATTTTTTTTTATGATTTCTCCATTAGCAGAAAACAACAAATACGAAGGGACCCCTTATGTGTATGAACAATCGTACTTTGGCATTCCTTATTTATAAAAAGCACAGTGTGGGACAGCATGCAGAAACCAAGCCTACACAACTGAACAGACCTACTGACATTTTAAAGCAGAACTCCAAGCAATAAGTCCAAATTCAAAGCAGAGAAAAAATATGACGCAGTAGGGAAGGAAAATGGTAGTGGGTGGAGGTGATGAGAATGATTTACTAATAAACACTGACTGGGGCAGGGAGATGGATGGAAAGATAATTTTCGAGAGCTGGATTTTAAAGTGAACAACTCACCAGTGGGAATCAGTGATATTCTGAACCTTCACTGGTAGATATACTGCTGCAGCCTTACTCAAGAATATTGTTTTCGTATTATTTACTTGTATTCTTTCCCTGTTGGGGCAAATGTGTCAGACTATAGGGTCCGTTTGTCTGATACTTTAGAGTGTTACTAAACCTACAACAGTGAAATCAGTAAAGCATGCTTGTGTTTACTCACTGTGGAACCTAAGGGGTTAATCCTCTGCATTGTGTAAAAACGCTGTTTGATCCTGACTTCTCTGATCCTCCCCTTCTTCTAGTGCCCCCTGTTATCTCCTGATAAGACATATCATGTGGAGTCACTCTGCACATGCTCAGCTTGGTGTGCATTGCTAGAGAGGTTTTTTTTCTTCCTTCGGAGAGTGCATGTGATCAGCACAGGGCCAATCACCACTGTCCAGACAGAGGTCAGGTGTCCTGCATTTTCCTAGAACAGAATGAAAACTCCTCCTACAAGCTTTAACATGTGCTCAGCTGGACACTGATAGAAGTCACATGACTGCTCTAACTGTTGGTGAGAAAAGGTAATTAGCAGTTTATATTTATTAAAATAATTGCATTTCCATGTTCTGTGCACTGTGGGAAATTGGATATAGTGAATGCAGTTTGCTGAGTTTAGTAACACTTTAAGCTCAGCTCTGAAACATACACTCAAAGAACTGCCATATACCAATATAAAAAACTCAAAGTCATGACTTGGAGTTTTCACACAAATGATTACTCTCTTTTCATATGACAGTACTGGTTGCCTAAGCAGCCAATCCCCAGGCACTAGTACCGTTACATGGGAGGAAGGGAAGCAAGTTACATGCATTCTAATACTTGGAAATACCAATGATTTTCCTTCTTTTGCTTTGATGGCTGGATAGAGCAGTGAGGAGAGTTAAATTTGCTGCTGATAGGGCCATGGTTAAAGAGAACCTGTTGCTTTGTACAGCAAGGAGAAAGCAAATGTTTGCTTTAAAAGAGAAGTATAGACAAAGCTATTTTGGCTATACTTCTGGGGATCACAGGAGTGCAGTTCACTCTCTCTTTTTCAAAAGTGTTTGACACAGTTCCCCACACACGGCTAATGTGTAAGGTAAAGTCTACAGGCCTGGAAAAATCTGTATGTAAATGGATAGAAAACTAACTAAAAGATCGTATTCAGAGAGTAGTGGTTAATGATTCATACTCTGAATGGCCTAGGGTCATCAGTGGTGTACCCCAAGGTTCAGTGTTGGGACCCTTACTTTTTAATACATTTATAAACAATATCGGGTCTGGATTATAAATCCCATTTCAGTCTTTGCAGATGACACCAAGCTGTGCAGTGGAATAACGTCCTTACAGGATGTCTTCATCTTACAAGCCGACCTCAATGCTCTGTGTAATTGGGCAACTATGTGGCAAATGAGGTTTAATGTTGATAAATGTAAGGTTCTGCACTTGGGGGCTAAGAATATGCATGCATCATACATACTGGGGGGGGGGGTACAACTGGGGGAATCAATGGTGGAGAAGGATCTGGGAGTTCTGGTAGATCACAAGCTTAATAATGGCATGCAATGCCAAGCTGCGGTTTCTAAAGCGAGCAAAATCCTCTCTTGTCTTAAAAGAGGTATAGACTCCAGAGAGAGAGATATCATTTCCCCCGGTACAAATCATTAGTAAGACCTCATCTGGAATATGCAGTTCAGTTTTGGGCACCAATTCACTAAAAGAACATTGGGGAACTGGAGAAAGTACAGAGAAGGGCAACCAAACTGATAAGAGGCATGGAGGAGATCAGCTATGAGGAAAGATTAGAGGAACTGAATTTATTCTCTCTTGAGAAGAGGAGATTAAGGGGGGATATGATCTCCATGTATAATACATAGGGGGGATATGATCACCATGTATAATACATAAGGGGGGATATGATCTCCATGTATAATACAAAAGGGGGATATGATCTCCATGTATAATACATAAGGGGGATATGATCTCCATGTATAATACATAAGGGGGGATATGATCTCCATGTATAATACATAAGGGGGGATATGATCACCATGTATAATACATAAGGGGGAATATGATCACCATGTATAATACATAAGGGGGGATATAATTTCCATGTATAATACATAGGGGGATATGATCACCATGTATAATACATAAGGGGGGATATGATCACCATGTAAGGGGGGGATATGATCACCATGTATAATACATAAGGGGGGATATGATTTCCATGTATAATACATAAGGGGGATATGATCTCCATGTATAATACATAAGGGGGATATGATCTCCATGTATAATACATAAGGGGGGATATGATCTCCATGTATAATACATAAGGGGGGATATGATCTCCATGTATAATACATAAGGGGGGATATGATCACCATGTATAATACATAAGGGGGAATATGATCACCATGTATAATACATAAGGGGGGATATAATTTCCATGTATAATACATAAGGGGGATATGATCACCATGTATAATACATAAGGGGGGATATGATCACCATGTATAATACATAAGGGGGATATGATCACCATGTATAATACATAAGGGGGATATGATCTCCATGTATAATACATAAGGGGGGATATGATCTCCATGTATAATACATAAGGGGGGATATGATCTCCATGTATAATACATAAGGGGGGATATGATCTCCATGTATAATACATAAGGGGGGATATGATCTCCATGTATAATACAAAAGGGGGGATATGATCTCCATGTATAATACATAAGGGGGATATGATCTCCATGTATAATACATAAGGGGGGATATGATCTCCATGTATAATACATAAGGGGGGATATGATCACCATGTATAATACATAAGGGGGAATATGATCACCATGTATAATACATAAGGGGGGATATAATTTCCATGTATAATACATAAGGGGGGATATGATCACCATGTATAATACATAAGGGGGGATATGATCACCATGTATAATACATAAGGGGGATATGATCACCATGTATAATACATAAGGGGGATATGATCTCCATGTATAATACATAAGGGGGGATATGATCTCCATGTATAATACATAAGGGGGGATATGATCTCTCCATGTATAATACATAAGGGGGATATGATCTCCATGTATAATACATAAGGGGGGGATATGATCTCCATGTATAAATACATCAGTGGTTCATATAGTGTACTCGGTGTAGAGTTATTCACCCTGAGGTCATCACAGAGGACAAGGGGGCACTCTTTATGTCTGGAGGAAAAGAGATTTAATCTCCAAACACAGAAAAGTTTCTTCACGGTGATAGTTGTGAAAATGTGGAATAGACTCCCTCAAGAGTTGGTTCTGGCCAGCTCAGTGGATTGCTTTAAAAAAGTCCTGGATTATTTCTTTGATACACAGAATATAACTGGATACTAACATTTATAGGTAAAGGTGATCCAGGAAATATCCGATTGCCTCTCGGGGGATCAAGAAGCAAATTGGATCATGCTTTGCTGCGTTTTTGTCTCTAGATCAATGGTGGGTATAGGATTATAACTTTTTTTTTATTGAACTGGACGAACTTTTGTCTTTTTTAGCCAAACTATGTAACTATGTAACTGTGACCCTGACCCGTTTTCAGCTAAAAGCGGTCCACACCCGCTGTTGGTTGACGTCACTCAGCCGGTCCAGGCTCTGGAAGGATCCCGACTTTAAAGTCGGGATCCACCCAAATGTCTGGACTGGCAGCTGGCTCAGCCTCTCAGCAAGCTGCTGAGAGCCTGAATCAACCTCCGCCTCCACAGCCCTGTGCTCTAGTGAGCGCTGGAGGGGCAGAGCAGGGAGCCGCTGACTGACAGTCACCACTCTCTGCCGACTGAAGACAGAGAACTGAGCAATCAGCAATCTTTGATTGCTCAATTCTGGTCTTAGAACTGGTGGGGACTGGTGTGGACAGATACAGCATTGGACTGATGCTGCATCCACCTACATGGGTATAAATGTTTTTGTTTTTTTTTTAAATCCATACTCCTCTTTTAAAACCCAACTCTGGAAATATGTGAAATTATTCTTTGCAGTGGGGCTGTGCCTGCACTGCAAGGGTTTAAAGTTGCTTTGTTTAGGGGAGAGGAGAAACAGTTTTACTTACCTGATCCTCTGCTCCACTTCCAGATGGGGCTCACCCCATGCTTTGGTATTGAACTGTTCCTCACCATCGTCACATCCAGTCCAGGCTATGAATTCTGCTTTGACTTTGATGACATCAGGACCCTAGACTGCTGGAG